TGCAAGGAGATCAGTCCTGGATGTTCATTGGAAGGACAGATGCTGAAGCTGAAACTCCAGTATTTTGGCCACCTTGTGTGAAGGGCTGACTCATTGGAAAAGACCGTGATGCTGGGAGGGATTGGGGACAGGAGGAAAAGGGGATGACAGAGGATGAGATGGCTGGATGGCATCACTAACTCAATGGCCCTTAGTTTGAGTAAACTCTGGGTGTTGGTGATGGACAGGCCTGGCGTGCTGCGATTCATGGGGTCACAGAGTCAGACACGACTGAGCAACTGAACTGAACTGAAACCTTAGCTTCCTCCATACATGATGATTAAATAGTATTTCCTCGTGGAATTTTTTTGTGTGTAATATAAGTGCTTCTATATGCAAAAATCCTAGCATGTAGTAAATGGTATGAGTCAACATTTAACTATCCTTCTTGTCTGTCTGATGAAGATAGCAACGGTGAATCTAACAAGAGCTAACATTTATTGAGAGCTTACTTTCTTCCAGGCACTGAGCAATTTACCAAAGTGCCAACCTCATAAGTTGCTGTGAGGATTAAATAAGCTAACCTAGGGAAAAAACCATTCAGCAGTTGTGTTTTAAGTGCTTAGTAAATGTGAGCCATTATCTTGAACCAAACCCCTATACCGTGTGTCAGGGAACCTCATGCATTATCTAATTTAGTTCTCATAACTACCTTAGGAGGGAAGCACTTTTACTATTGTCATTTTAAAGGTGAGGGAAATAAGATCCCAAGGATTAATATAACATCCCAAATTCCCGTCAGTAAGTAGCACACAGAGGCCATAATCCAGGTGTCTTTGATCCCAACCTTCTCCTTTTAGTATGTAAAGCTGTCTGTAAGTGGGGGGACCCGTAAAGAGTCCACAGACAGGGGAGATGCTAAACAGAGCAGTTGGGAGCCAATGAGAAAAAGAAAGAGAATATGAGTGAGACCCGGACAAAGAGTTGCTGTGTTCTGTCTGAATCAAGAGATTGGGGGATCTGAAGGAGACATGTGCACCCCAGTGTTCATCACAGCACTGTTTATAATAGCCAGGACATGGAAGCAACCCAGATGCCCATCAGCAGATGAATGGATAAGGAAGCCATGGTACATATACACCATGGAATATTACTCAGCCATTAAAAAGAATTCATTTGAATCAGTTCTAATGAGATGGATGAAACTGGAGCCCATTATACAGAGCGAAGTAAGCCAGAAAGATAAAGACCATTACAGTATACTAACACATATATATGGAATTTAGAAAGATGGTAACGATAACCCTATATGCAAAACAGAAAAAGAGACTCAGATGTACAGAACAGACTTGTGGACACTGTGGGAGAAGGCGAGGGTGGGATGTTTCAAGAGAACAGCATCGAAACATGTATATTATCTAGGGTGAAACAGATCACCAGCCCAGGTTGGATGCATGAGACAAGTACTCGGGCCTGGTGCACTGGGAAGACCCAGAGGGATCAGGCAGAGAGGGAGGTGGGAGGGGGGATCGGGATGGGGAACACATGTAAATCCATGGCTGATTCATGTCAATATATGGCAAAAACCACTACAATATTGTAAAGTAATTAGCCTCCAACTAATAAAAATAAATGGACAAAAATTATAAAAATTTTTAAAAAAGAGGAAAAAAAAGAGAGATTGGGGGACTGCTTTATCTAAGGGACTCAAGGACTGTAATTAGGTCCTCCAGCTGGACCAGGGGCAGGATGTCAAGATGGCAGATTATTGACAATTAATCTGATAGCATCTAAGCCTTGACAGTAGTATCACCTGGCTATCCACTGATGCCATTACCTTCCCTGCATTTATGATGATATGAATCTGAGTGAAAAAGGAAAGCAAGGGATGGGGAATCAAGAGTATGAGAAATGGTGCCAAGTAGATTTTTAACTAATTATGTTTGATCTTTCACTCATTTATTTATCCCCTGCCTCTTAAAAGTAGTTACTATATACAAAGAACATACATTCTATAAACTTATTAACAAAGAAATACTTGAAAAATAAAGGAAACATACTAACTATGAGATTTAACAAGACATTTATGAATTTCCTGACAGAGCAAAACAGGAAGAAACGTGAGTTTTATGATTTGTTCTGATCTGAAAGGAGTTTGCATAAAAAGTTTTTTAAGCAAAAATGGCTCAAGTGTGTTTTCCCTCTGTTCCAGAGTAGAGATGTACCAGGTGGTGAAGATATCTCTGTGCACCACAGTATTTCAAGCTAAGAAAATATAAGAGACAGAGGCATATATGTCCATCTCATAATACTCATTGGATTTTCTCTCTGCAAACAACAGTATTTTCATTGTTCACTGTTTCATTCCATGCCAAAGTATTTTCTTGAAACGGCCCCTGTCCCCCAACCTTCCTTGATAATATTTAATGATATCTCATTAACTTCAAAATTGACACTTGTTGCCAGAGAACTTAAGATTTGGTTTTCAGGCAAGTAATAAATGAACTCTTATTTAAGGACTTCCCAAAGGCAGAGACCACCTGGCCCTGCTGCTGTTTGAAATAGCTTTATGCATTTAACTAGCAGTGGTGTGAAGTATGTGGTGCTATTGTTTGAGGGATCAGAGGACCTCAGCTGTGTGGCATAAAGTTGCCACCTTTGAATGGACAGAGAAACAGGGACAGATGCCACCTGGGTCTGGAAATAATATGGAAAAGGACTGGTGTAGTCAGGACACAGAATAGAGAAAGAACACTTCCCAGCTTCTAGTGGAGGAGATATTCTGGGTCCCTAGAAAGGGCCTTATAGTGGGTATTAGCACACAGCTGTAAATGTTAAATCGGATGAGAAATGCGTCCTCCCAGACCTCTGCAAGTTTCCTGCTTCCCTGCACATCCAGCCATGCATATATAAGCCTGGAGCTGCTTAACTGTAAGTTAAATTGAGTATATTTGGGGGACTTCTCAAGGAAGGCAAATAGCCTTCCTCAGTTTTGATGATAAACATTTCAAAAATATAATTTCACAACATGGTGTCAGAATAATATTCATCTCACTAAACACAGGTGTGAACCTAAGGTTCATTGGTCACCCTCAGCCTATCTGGGCTGGCACAACAGGACTGTGCAAAGTTATCCACTTCAGTTCTAGAACTAAAGACATTTCAGGGAATTATTCCAACAGACCTCAAACTAACTCTAGGGAGTATCCTTTAAGCCACCCCTGGCCCTGATTAGTATCTTTTCAATGACAAACACTTTCCTAATGGAACTGTGACCAGCCATGGAGCAGATTAAACAACTTGGATTCCTGAAGCTGTGTGCAGTGTATGGATAGCCAGGAGCCTCCATTCTAATCTAAATGAAGAGGAAGAAAACTAGAAAATTATTTAAAAAAACAACTCTTTACAAGGATTGCAATGTTGTTATACTTATTGTATCCATAAAAATAAGCCTGCTGTGGTCTTATTAAGTTAGGTGCTAGGAAGGATGCAGAGAATTCACCCCTTAGGAACTTTAAAACACCAAGTTGGAGACAAAAATCATTATGCATGAAACAACCGGTAGCATTCTGATACAGGTTATCATCTTAGGTGTGTATTAGTAAGTCAGTCATGTTCAACTCTTTGCAACCCATGAGCTGTAACCTCCAGGCTTCTCTGTCCATGGGATTCTCCAGGCAGGAATACTGGAGTGGGTTGCCATGATCTTCTCCAGGGAATCTTCCTGACCCAGGGATCGAACCTGGGTCTCTGGCATTGTAGACAGATTCTTGACCATCTGAGCCACCAGGGAAGCCCTTATAATTAACTGTAAAATTATATGGTCAAACCTGTAAGTATGTAGGTAATTAGGGAGGAGAGTAATCAAAGAGAAACAGAACAGTCAGACTGGATTTCATGGGGGTGATTAGACTTGAAGGATGGAAGGGTTATAGAGTTCATAGATACAAAAATAAATATTAGTAATAGGGAAGGTTATTCGGTTGTTTCGTATTCATCACTCTTCTAAAATCTTCACATTTTCTAACTAATGTTTTTCCTCAAAACCACCCATCAGGTGGGAATTTTGATAATCTCTGCTTGACGGGCAAAGACTGAGGCTCATAGATGTTTGATAAATTGCCCCTGGTCATCCAGCTATTAACTGGTAGATTTCTTCTTCCAGAAAGTGTTCATCAATATCCTTACTAAGAGCTGTGTACATGTTTAATATTTTTGAAATATTAAACAACAGGAATATTGCTTTCTTTATTGCCCAATAAAGTCTTGCTGCAAAAAATGGTGCTATAAAAGCCATATTTTTATGTATTGAATGCCAACCGTGTATCATTTCACTTTCAGAAACCCTTTATAGGTAGCAAATGAGGGGAAATAGATCAAGTAGCACAGCCATGTGTGAAAGAGCCCATGTTCTTTTTATTCCCTCAAAGGCCTCTGTCAGTTGTATATTAATTGTAGGTAATTTGTGAAAGGTTTAAATTAAGGTGTCAGTGGTGATCATTATTCAGATAATTGCCTCATTTTCTACTTCACTATGTGCTAATAGGTACACACCTGGTATAAAGCCCATAATTTTTCTTTTTTTTTTTGTTGGAGTATAATTGCTTTACAATGTTGTGTTAGTTTTTACTGAACAATGAAGTGAATTGGCTATATGTAAACACATATCCCCTTCCTCTTAGGTATCCTCGCCATAGATAAAGAAATGTGGCATATGTATATACTATGGACTATTACTTAGCCACAAAAAGGAATGAAACTGGGTCATTTATAGAGATGTGGATGTGCATAGAGTCTGGTGTAGACAGTGAAGTAAGTCAGAAAAACAAGTGTTGTACGTTCATGTATACATGTGGAATCTAGAAAAATGGTACGGATGAGTGTAATTTTTAAATTTAGTTTATATGTGTGTATAGAGGAAATAAGATTTTACTCCACACCATTGTACTGTAAGGTTTATCACATGTCTGGACAAGAGAGAGAGAGCTAGGGTGATGGTTGTCAAAGAAGTCACCTGAGTGTATCAGTCATCAATGAGTTTTATTATCAGTCATGCTGCGAGGTGGAGGCTGTGGGAACTTCCAGTATTTCTGCAAGGTATCAGGTCACAGACAGGCAGAGCCAAAGCTTGAGTCAGAAAGGCAGGGATGCTTGAAGAGCTGGAGCTGACTTACCCCCTGTCAGCTGCTGGGGTATGGCTTTTCACAGTCTCCTGTTCCCAGTTGCACTGAAACCTCAACCCTGCGTTACAGGCCTGTATTTTTGACTAGAGCCTGGTTTCTGCCTGGCAAAACAGAACAGGAACAAAGTAATTGTCACTAACTGAAGCTTTTCCTTTTCCCTGCAGTTAACATGAATTGTTCAAACCAGACTGAGGTGATGCTTTCAACAGAGCATTTATCAGAGTCTGGATCTTAGGACACTAATGCTGGGATATTTTTCAGCAGAGGCTTTACTCGTGAATACATTTGGGAAATTCTACATTATGTAATCAAGGTGACTTGTGAACNGTCAGACACGACTGAAGTGACTTAGCAGCAGCAGCAGTTCCTTAAGTACCAGCAATTTTTATATTATTATCAATTTCTATTATTAATTAATTAATATTAATTAATAATTAATTTTGCTATAAGACAATCATTTCACTGCCCTTTTGTCTCTTGCATTCTTTTTCCTGTGATTATTAACAATGTATTGAGTAATCTTACATTTACTGTCATGTATTGAGTAATCTTCTAAAGGCTTATTGGGACATAGCTGTTTTGTCCCAAAGCTAAATTGTCCCAGTCCTTATGTTTTTGACACCTTTTTCTCCTTTGAATAAGTGTATTTTATATCTTTCATGTATTATAACCTAACCAGTACTTTTTTTTAAATGATATCTAGAAGATTGCTTTCTTTTCTACTGTGTTAAATGAATACTTGGCAGTTCAGTGTCTCTGGCTACAGCAACTCAGAAGCAGTAATTAGAAGCCAGCTGCCTCTTTAGGCTCTGGGGATATAAAGAAGGATGCTACAGGCCTCCAGGGGCGCTCCATGAAGATTCTGTGTTGCATGAGTCAGCCCAGTGGCAGTTCTGAGAAAATGAAGCAAGTCGGATGGGAGCTGTGAAGGGACTCTTTTGAAGGCATAGATGGGGTCATGCAGTGACTGTACAAGAGAATAACAGTTGTGTTGATACACAAAGAAAATAACTGATATTTTCCCCCCTAAAAAAGTGCAATTGTGGGTTTTCTGTAAGGTCTTCTCCTTCAGTGTAAACTTGGCATATTTAGAAAGATCAAGCAGCAATAGAAGTCCTTTGATTTTTCTGGCACAGGATCTTGAAGCTAATACCATGCAAAATCCTCTTGATGAGTTTTAAATGACTTTTTTTTCCCTGTCTTCTTGAAGAGTTAGTGCCAAATGAGTGATAATAGAATGACTAAGGGGGGAAGTGTTTCTAAAAATAGTTCCTAACATTACTTCCTGTGAACTCAGGAAGCTGAGTTTCATGATGCTTAGGGCAGAGGTTCTAGAAGTGTGACCCTTAGACCAGCAGTTTCATCAGCATCACCTGGGAAGTTGTGAGAAATGAAAATTCTTTACCCCAGCCCAGACCTACTGAATAAGCAAACCTGGGCGCGGGCATGGTGATCTGTTTTTTAATGCTCCCTCTTTAGTGGATTCTGATGTTCACTCAAGTTTGAAAACCAGTCCATCTTTTGTTTCACTGAAAGGCTTCAGAGGGTGTCCGTGAACACCCTGAACCTGTGTGCAAGTTTGTGTGTGTGTGTGTGTTCATGCCTCTCTTGGAGGAAGCAGAACCGTATTTTTCTCTGGGCGGGGGGTCTCAGAATAACACTGACTCCAACAATGTAAAAACCAGTGTTGAAACACCAGGATCCAGCCTCAGTGTTCCCAGTCGGTACTCCGACTTTCCATCTGAAAATCTACGATTCAGTCTCTGGGGGAGACACCTGCCTTCCTTTCTCAGTTTCTGAGCCCTGAGTGGAATTGAATTGCATGTAGTTGTCAGCTTCTTGCTTCTTGAAGTGCAGTGTGAGCAATTGTTTTATTACAGAAATATGTGGTTTGAATGTCTTAGAGCCAAAGATCTTATCTATGCTGCAACATAGACATCAGCATCTACCACTTCTTTAAAATGAATATTGAATTGTTTTAGTCTGAGGTTATTCATGTTACTGTGAAATATCTACCTGTGGGTTTACAAGCAGAGAATTTTAACTATAGTACCTAAACCCACTAAAGCACTGTCAGCATACGCTTATTCAATGAGCATGTATTGAGAGGGTCTGCTCTATGCCAGTCCTCATGTTAGGTCTTAGGCACAGTATCAGGAATGGGGAGAGAGGAGGTGGGCAGGGAAACTAAATACACAGATTTTTTTTTTAATTAAGAAAACAACAAAAGCTTTATTTCTCTTAAAAGTCCTCTGTAGGTATGGACAAATATCTTCTGTGACATCCCTCAGCAGTACAGAGTAACAGACTCTCTACACATGATGAAGGTGTGCGTCTAGNTTTTTTTTTTAATTAAGAAAACAACAAAAGCTTTATTTCTCTTTAAAGTCCTCTGTAGGTATGGACAAATATCTTCTGTGACATCCCTCAGCAGTACAGAGTAACAGACTCTCTACACATGATGAAGGTGTGCGTCTAGATCATGGGAGTTCATTGATATAGCAGGGGAAAGCACTGGAGGGAGTCTTGCTAAAATTATTTGACCTGAAAGTGACGCATATGATGTTTGCTTACAAGCTGTTGGCTGGAAATAGATATACAGCCCAGTCTGAATGCAGGAGTTCAGGGAAGTATAATCCTCTGTGTGTTCAGAAGCAGTAGTTAGCCCTACATCTCTGTCACATTTCCATACAATAAAAAGCTGTTTATCATAGAAAGATAGAGTGACTGAAGGAAAAATGGCTAACTCCTGTTAGGGTTGTAGCATGTGGAGATAGCAATGTATATGGGATTTTCGCAGAAAATGTGATCTTTCTCACTGGATCTATCGGATGAGAAGGAAGTTTTCCAGGCAAAGTCAATATTAAGGTAAATATTCCAGGCAGGGATACTAGTCTGATGGGAGACAGGATCATGGGAGAGATCTAATTCTGTTCAAAGGATGGTGAGATTTTCAGCGTGGATGAAGTCCATGATACATATAGGCATGTTATAGGTGAGGAAAAGCAAGAAAGGAGCCTGGAAACAGGAGACCAGAGTATGAAGGGGCTTATATTCTAAGCTAAGGGGTTGAAAGTTTTGAATTCTATTTCATACATATTAGTGTCTCTAACAGTTGTTAAAACATTTATTTTGTGGTGAAAACTCTGATACTTTTTAAGTAGCTCTTTTTAATATAAAATATAGCTGTGTAAATAGCATATCCCACAGTTTCAAACTCTCTATCATACATGTGTCATTGTGATTATCTGCACCTGTGCAATTTTTTGCTTGGAATGTTTTCTGAAAAAGTGAGGCCATCAAAATCAGGTGAGTTTTGATCATGAACATTACCAAGCAGCTCCTGTGTGCTAACATTTGTCCTATAGTTCTCACAACAGCTCTCCAGGATTGGTATGATGTCTCATTTTATAGAAGGAGAATGTGAAGAACAAAAGTCTGTTCTCTGCCACACAATGAGTAGCAGTTTCTCAGCTGGGAAATTGATATGCTTACTAAAGCAGTTAGTTTTGGGATTCATATAAATAAAATATAGGTTCAAATTCAGTTTTCTGCCAATTCCTAGATATATTACCTTGAAGCAACTCAAACTGGGGCATTTTCCTACTAAAGAGCCCTTGAAATAATGAGAGAGTGGTGTGATCTAGTAATCTAATTTCTCTTTGAAAAGACCTAGGCAGGGAAAACAGAAACTTACTACTCTAATAGTCCAAGCAGTAGAAATGGAAATGAGTGAATCAGTTACATTAAGGGTGGACAGTGAGCATTCGATCTGCTCCAATTAATTGCAATGATTTTTAAAGATGGATCTTGCTTTTGTTGTTTTAGTATTACCTTTTATATGTAGTGTGTGCATGCTCAGTCATTAAGTCATGTTCAACTCTTGTGACCCTTTGGACGATAGCTCCCCAGGCTCCTCTGTCCATGAGATTTTCCAGCCAAGAATACTGGAGTGGGTTGCCATTTCCTTCTCCCTACCCATGGATCATACCCATATCTCCTGCATTGGCAGGCAGATTCCTTAGCACTAAGCTACCTGGGAAGCCTTAGCATATAATGAGCACCAGTTAATATTTGGAGGGTCTGTGTACTGGCTGCTATGTTGGAGATTTACCATTAGGTCTTTGCAGAAAGTTCATTCTCTGTGGACTTGGGGGCCTGCCGTTGTATAATAATGAGGGATAAGCCTAACCTGAAGTCAAGATGCCTCTATTTGTGTCCAAACTCAGAAATTTACTAGCTCTAAGCTCTAGCTATGTTTCTGTATTTCTTATAGTGAGGTACAGATATTGCTGAAAGAGTACACGAAGCTAAAAGAAGAATCTTACTTTACCCATGGTTTGAGGGCAAAATGATTTTTTCTGTCATAACAATCCTGACTAAATGGCTGGATTGAAAAATAATAGCAGGAAAAACAGTTTTTAAAACAGAAAACATAAAGCCTCAGATACATTTCAGACCTATATTTTCCCCTTTATGTATGGCCAAGATTCAGAGAAGTGAGTGTTCATTCTTTCCTATCATGGAGATAAACTTGGTAGAAACATTTAGGAAGCAATAATCATTTGACCCTCTGCTTGGTTCTTTTAATGAAAAGTGATGGTAGTGCTAACACTCTAAGTTCTTTGAAAGGACAAAGTAGATCCTGATTTGAAAGGATTCTGAAAACTCTAAGGAGTAAATGTATAAGACTATGAAAATTATTGTTATTATACAAAATAAAGGGCTTCCCAGGTGGCTCAATGGTAAAGAATATACCTGCCAATGCAGGAGATGTAGGTTCGATCCCTGGGTTGAAAAGATCCGCTGGAGGAGATGGCAACCCACTCCAGTAGTCTTGCCTAGGAAATCCCATGAACAGAGGGGCCTGTTAGGGTACAGTCCATGGAGGCATAAAAGAGTTGGATATTACTTAGCAACTCAACAATGATGTATGATAAAGTATTGTCATTATGCATAATAAAGAGATAGAAATCTGTTTCACAAAGACATGTTAATCATGACAATAAAATGAGTCATGGTTGAAATACCAAAGCATCTGCAGGTTCCTAAAAAAGATACATGTAAAGAATTATTCACTGTTTGACTGCTCTATTAAAATGTAACCTTCCCACAAGCAGGAGTTTTGTCTGTTTTCTTTGCAGTAGTATTCCCAATACCTAGAATAGTGTGCAGCATATCATATGTACTCAATAAATATTTGTTGAATAAGTGAATTAATAAAAGGACTCTCAGAGAAACCATGTCTATTATTAATGAGGACATTGACCCCTACCTAACTGCTACTTACTCTGAGGAGCTGAGCTGGACCACAAATGAACTGTAAGAATTCCTTTTGTTTATATTCAAGCAGCCTGAGTCATGTCAAAGATAAATAAAATCAGACTCTAGTTAAAGTAGCAAGGACAGATTTTAATCAGTAATAAGCTACAGCAGTAGAGAAGAGGGTCCACCGTGAATTGAACTCAACTTTGATTTGTGCAGAGGGGATTGAGCATTCTGAAAGGACAATGAGCAAGTCTGAAGAAGAAAAGTAGGGGCTTGGGGAGAATCAGGGAAGTAGAAGATTATAGAAAGCAGAAAGAGGGTGTTGGTCCATGTGGATCCTACCTGAGTCTGTTCGCCAGCTCTTACTGCAGTTAGGTCTCTATTCACCTACAGAGACTCGGAGGGGAGTCGGGGGCCTATCTTCATGCAGATGTTGGCTGGGACAACTGGAAGATTCTTTTGGCAGTCTTGTGCTTCCCCATGAGGGAACTTAAAGGGGCTAGAGTCCTTACTTTAGGGATGCTGCCTTGAGCTGTTAGAATCTATGCTAGAGTTTATTGATATTTTTAACATGGGGGGACAAAATTATTTGTGCTGAGAGTCTGCAGTTTATAGGCCCAGGTTGAGGCCTAGTCAAGAAAAGGGCTGTAGTCAGAGGAGCCTGACTAGAGTTTGCTCAAGGAGAGACTCTGTGTGGCTTCCTTTGGTTTTTCTCTGGAAACTATTGTGGACTGTGTGCAGGTTGGAAAAGAATTTTCAGATACAAGGTAGATTGAGAGGAGAATAAAGTTTGTTAGAGTGGGAGACACTGTGAAAACAGTGGGCCGGCTCAAGCGAGAGTCGACCCCTTTTGTGGGCTAGTGGCTAATTTTTACAGCCTCAAGACAGAGAAAATTCCTCCTGCAAGGGTGGTGTTAGGTAACTGGTTAGGTGGGTGTTTTACCTAATATGGGGTCAGGGAACTGGCTGGTTTAGATCCAGAGGCTTGTGGCAATAATTGCCATGGGGCTTGGTCAGTTAGTTCCAGATATTTTTGTCCAGTGATCTTGTTATAGGGCTCCACAGAAACCAACTTAGTTTTGGCTTTTATGGTTTTACTTCCTATAAGGTTAAAAAAAAAAAGAGAAAAACTCAGAATGACAAATTCAAAATAAACAGAACTTGCCTCTCAAAAGCCTAGGGCAGGGTGGGTTCAAGTTGCCTACTCTCTGCCTTATGTTTCCCTTGACTCTCCCAAAAGCCCTCTAGGTCTTTCCAGAGAATATCCGTTCAAACCGGGAGGCCCATTTTTTTTTCCCCATTCGTTTTTTTGGGGGAGGAATTTTGAGGAAGGAAGGAGGCTGCAGTGGAGGGCTTCTTCCGGGTTCTTTTTTCTTTGGGTTTTCCCGGGCAGGATTCTTGGATTGGTTTGCCCTTTCCCCTTCCGGGGGTTTTTCCGGCCCCGGGGTTGGAGGGCTTTTTTTTTCCTTTTCTTGTTCCGGTTGGGCCGCCGGGAGGCTTTCTAGAAGGCGGGATTTGTAATAAAGAGAGGGGTGAAAGGAGAAGAAAGAGACGTGGATGGTCTTTGGATTCTTAGGGGCCATAGCCTGAGTCTCTTATTTAGATGAGACCTGGTTGAGAACTGACAATGATTTTTGACCATTGATTTCTTTGTAAGTTGCAGGATGCTTCTGATGGTAAATGAAATTACTTTGTAACCTCTCGGTGCCTAAGGCTTTTTCTTGGCATAGAAGAGATAAGAAATTATTTCTCATCTGTCAGCTTTCTTGAGAGAATGATTTGTTAAAGTAGAGAGTGAGTTTTGGTTTGCACCCTGGCTGGATTCCCCATGCGTATTTGTCACTAAGGGTAGCATTGCCAAGGCTTCAATGAAACAGGAAAACCATGCTGTTCCCTTCATTATTTTTTCTCTTCAGCACCTGCTTGCAACTGTTCATTAAGAGGGGCAAAGCATAGTTCAATAAACAGTAAATGTCCAGGCAAATGATTTAATTCTAAGAAAGCCTTTTTTTTAATCCTGAAACTGGGTTCTTCCATTCATTTCCTTCCTGTTCTCCATCTGTCACCAGTCATATTCTAACCTAGAGTTACAAGCTCAGTCCTATGAAGGTGAAAATTAATCATATAAAGATGAAAATGGATAAGAGCACAGAAAGGATTTTACACAAATCCTATACTTTATTAAAGAGAAAACCGAGGCCCCCAAAGGACAAGGGTTGTTCGATCAGATTCAAACATAACACCTGTACATGCACATTTAAGCAGACGAAAGACAGTCTAAAAGGTGCTGTGGAAAACATGAAGATAAGTAATATCAGAATATTCTTTCTGAATGAATAAGGAAGATAGAAAAGTATCTTCTCAGCTAATCATACAAGGTAACATAAAGGACATACAGGTAACATAAAAGTAAAGGGCGTGCTGTTTATTCTTTTCAGTTGAGGGTGAAATTTTGTTAAGGAGATTAAGCCACACAATGAATATAACAATAGAATGTATACAGACCAGTGCTAGGAATTTTAGTAATCTGTAAAAACATCACTGTTCTACTTCTAGCATCAAATGCAGCTCTAGCACAACCGACCCTCCCACCTAGAAGCAGATGTGTAAAAACATATAAATCTAGGGTTGTCAGCATCAATAGTGTAGCCTCTCTATGCAGTAAAATTCTCTTTGGTTAGTAAGTATTTCAATAGTTATCGATTTTTTATTTATTCTCTCCACTGGTCAGAATTGTATTGATTTTAAACAGATGTAATCACTAAAGAAGCATGACTTGTTCATGGCAGAAAGCAGGCTACTTTGGTTAATTTAGAAGGTTACTCTGCTTGTATTTTACTCTTGTTTTCCTACCTAGAAGGAACTGTTCTCTTCATCTGCAGTAAAACACACAAATTTGTACACTCTGTAAAAAAAAAAAAATGTAGTTAGTGACCATGAGAAGTTTATAGAACGTCAGAAAACTATATTCTTTTGATAGTAGTCACCTAATACAACACATTTTTGATTAGGGCTCAGAAATAACTTGGAGTGCTAGGATTTCTGGGTTTGGCTGGCCAAAGTACTGATCAAATCCATGAGAATTTATGTGAGAATTCAGAATTCAAGTAAAAATCCCTCAGTAAACAGATGAAGTTGTGAGCTGGCTGCATAGTAGGAGCTCAGGTTTATTAGGCTAGTGGAATCCATAAGATGAGATAAACTCCAGGAGAGAAAAAAATAATACAAACAAGAACAACAATAGCAGCGAGTCATTTCTGAACAATTACTAAATGGTAAGCACTGTATTATGTGCTTACTCAAATTACCAGATTATCCCAGGGTTTATTTTTTTACCCACACTTTTCAAATGATGAGACCAAGGCTCAGAGATGTGAAAAGAGGGAGACTCATTAGAGAATAATGCAATTACACACGGAGCAATAAGAAACACCACAGTGACAGTTTTGTTTTTTTGCCTTTTTTTCCTATCTCAAGAAAGGTTAGAGACTGGAACTATAAAGATTGAAGAGTTAACACTGGAGGGACATCGGAACTTCTTCTTAAGAGACACATGATAGCATCTCAAATAGGCAAAATTGTAGCTCACTGATTTCTTCTTTCTGTCTACATTGCAGGCTGAGCACCTCATGTTTCGTTCAATTGAGATGAATTTGAGCCCATTGTTATACTGGTGTATCTCTTCTGATGTGTCCCGAGTATGTCAGCCCCACTCTTACTAGTCTGAGCTCTATGGGGAACGTGTTATCAAAGTATGATGTGACTGCACTCATAGAACCTGGCTGTCACTTCTCTTGTCTGGGCCTGAAACTTCCTATGCTTACATCTCATTAGCCTTATATTTTGCAAGCCATCTCAGACCTCAGGTTTCCTTCCCTCATTTTGCTGATGTGCAGTGTACACATTTTCCCCTGTAGCTTTCTCTCTGCTGTCACTGCAGAGAGAAGCAATGCTGCTTTAGCTATGGGAGGGGCTTCTGCGCTCTATCTTGTCTATCACTAATAAACCCTCAAGGTCTGTTCTCATTTCCAAACTACTAATGTCTGGTAATGATTTCCAAGTCAGAACATGCACAGCTGGATACTCAAACCCCAGGTTAAATTTTGTTTTCTGACACATCACCTGTTTGGAGTTTGAAAGTAAGTCAAAATGTGTTGCAGAAGTTATTCAAGGAAGAAGATGGGGTAATGATAAAGGTCATTCCTCTGACTTAATGGTACCAAACCATTGGAAAAAATATTTCCCTTGATCTCTGAAATCACCTTGTAGAAGTTTCAGCTCCTGAGGCAGGTACCATTACAGTTGTTATAATATTAAAGCTTCCATAGAGCCTTTTTTTTTTTTTTGAAATCTAGGAAAATTGTTTGGCGCTAGGTTAGGGTTGGTTTGATTGCTACTGATATAAACATCTCTGAATAGTTTTTCTTTTTTTTTCCAAGTGCAAGTAACATAACTTCACATTAAAGAACAAAGCAGACTGTCTAGGCACAACTAGATTTTTTAAAGCAAAATTGAGTACAATAATAACAACTTTCAGAAATTGTGAAACTGTCAGTGCAGGAAAATTAGTTCTAATGTAAGCTTAGCCATGGGATTTTTTTTGAAAATGTTCTCATATTAGCATGGAGCATTTTAAATAATGAATTTACAGGGAGAAACAAAAGGAAATCACAGACAGACATTACTTAGAATAAGAAAAAAAACAAGTGCATTTTAATGATTATAGATTTGTGTATGGAATATTTTGCCTTAATTTTGTTTCATTGCCTCTTTGTCATTGGAGGCCTGTCTGATGATTTGGGTAAGTATCATGGGTGACTGTCTTTGTGTTTGCTCAGCAGAGAACAACAGTTGCAATATGTAAATAGGGTGCCTCTTTCCTTTGGATGCCTTGGGATATGTATAATAGATTAAGTTGGCTTTGTGCAGAGCAAACAGGTCTGTATTACCAAGAATATGAATAATGTCAGTTTCCATAATTGCTAACATCTGGCTTTCCATAAATCTGTTAAATTGCATGGAAGCAGAATTAGATTTCTGTGTCATAAGTAAAGCAATTACATGGAACTCTGTAGGCAATATGGTCCTACATTCAACTGTGAAATCCATTCATTCTGGAGCAGCAAAAGCAAATCCAGGTTTTGCACCCTGTTTTTATTGTACACCCGTAGGTGTGTTCATCTTTTTGCTCAGGTTTCTTAATTTACGAGAGGAAAACACTGCCAATATGTTTGTAACTTTCTTAAATGCAAAATAACCAAATGTTAAAAAAGCATGCTCTAGCCAGGCATTAATTGCCAATTTAGAGAGTATTTTTGAGGAGACCATAAGTTAAAGATGCTTTTGTTGCCATTGTAGTTCTGTTGAAATTAATCTTCCAGACAGTTCCTGGGGTGATTTGTTGATAGGTCTTTCTCTGCCACTGTTCCCTTAAGCATTTGATGGGAAACTGGGATATGGAGGGAAGAGGAAAGGAGGCTTTCCTATTTCAGTGTGGTTATTGCTTTCTGTATTTATTGTATTTTGAACTAGACCCAAGAGCTTTCCCAGATGAAAAGTCAACAATAAGATGTGTTCCCTGAAGAGAAGGGTTGTGGTTATGCCTCATGCTTATTGAACACCCCAAAGACTAACTTTTGGCAAAGCAGTCTTTTATACTTGTATTGGTCTGTAAAATTCCTGGATTTAGGTAATTACCTAAATTACATGGGCTTCCCAGGTAGTGCAGTGGTAAAGAATTCGACTGCCAATGTAGGAGATGCAGGTTCAATTCCTGTGTTGGAAAGATCCCCTGGAGGAGGAAATGGCAACCCACTCCAGTATTCTTGCCTGGAAGTTAAATAAATACATTGCACATCCAAAGTATATTCTTTGGCACTTCGTAATGAGAAAAAGATTTAGTTCTTACCCTCAATGAGCTCACCATCTACCTATGAAGCCATGGATATATTAAAATATAATTCCCGAGAGATGAATGCAAGGGTACAGAGCAAGGTACAGAGAAACTAAAATGCCAATAGTGACTGTCTTGCAGAATGAGGGTTGGTGATGCTGGGTCTTGATTTTGAAGAATGCATGAGAGTCAAGATAGCACACAGGAAAGGGAAAAGGTTACCTTTTCAATTAATTTACACCCCACCCATTCCATGTAGGCTAATAAACAGAGATAAGGGAGGCAGGGAAGGACTCCCATAGTTAGAAAAGGCATGTTCCAAGGCACAGGCAGAGGAAACATCATGGCCTGTTTGTGGGTCACCGTTGCTTTTGAAGAGAAAGGGGAAGAGACAGAAGGTAACAAATGAAGTGCCAAACCAAGGCTTATGTGTATACTAGGAGACTGAATGTTCTATTAGAAGCGTCAGAGATCCACGGAGATGTGGCAGAGGAATGACATGAACAGGTTTGCTTTTTAATACAACATCCCTACCCTGTAGAGGTGTTTACAGCAGTGATTTTCCTCTGGCTGAACAGAGCCCAGATGTCTAGATCCTAAATTGCCAATTAAGCCCATTTCTAGTGGTGAGCCACCACGAGAAAACATCAGTACTTTTTAAAAGCTCTCCAAATATTTATATTTTGCCCACAATCAAAAAATCACTGAATTAGAGTGAAAAGTAGTTGAAGTCAGTATAGACCAGCTAGGAAGCTAATGCAATAGTCCTGGTGAGAAATATGAAAATCAGAATTGAGTTCAAAGAAACCTTAATTTTATTTTTATGATTATATAAGTGATGAGCCACCTAGCTAGCTAGCTATCATCAATTTACTCTCTATCTGTATCTCCAGACATACAAACCAGATTGTAAATGTGATGAGAGAAGTATAAGACACTGTTTTGTTACTTTCAGCAAAAATATAGGAGTGAGAATAATGCAAAAAAATATCACTTTAGTATTGTTCCAAGATAGCATATATCTAAACGGTAAACCATGTACCACTAACTATCATTGCAATGAGTATTCAGAGAGGGTGAATAATCACTCTAAACTATAACCGTATTGGAAGATACTTAACTGAGAAAGTAGGGCTTGAAGTTGGTCTTAATCATTTATATTCATTAAATAAACAAATGTTTTTGAATACTTATTATGTTATCTATGTTTCTACCTTCAAAAGACTGTAGAGTAGGTGGGTATGGTTTTGTACAGTTGATAATTGAAGGTCAGAAAGACTAAATAATGTGACCAAGGATACACAGTGTAATGTACAAAATGACCGGTACATAATAAGCACCAATTAATTGGAAGAGTTTGGTTTCAAACATGTGTGACCTGACTCCTGCATTCATTGCTACTTTTTGTTGTGAAGAATTAGAGGAAAAAGACTGGGACGATGAGAGAGGCTTCTAGGCAGGAGCACCATAGGGTCATATGTGTTACCCAGGAGTAATAAAGAAGTAATTAAGGTCTGATGTAGTTGACTTGGAATCTAGATAGCATAATTTAGAATCATTTCCACAAATGTTAAAGGAGGAATAACTATTCATTAAGTCAGTGTTTTGACTGAGGCTACAATTGGTAGAACAAAGATAAAAAAATAAATCTTATAATGAACTAGTTTCTAGAAATATTGTTGGAATTCCTTAACATCTTCCACTTTGTACTGTGGCTATAAAGCCAAGTTTTATACCAATGTAGTGCATATAGTCAGTAAGGGAAGATAGGTCATTGTTTCTCATTGTTATTAAAGTCACTATAGTTTTAAAATTCTAGCAAACTAATTATACCATATTCTCTGAATTTCAACTAAAAATGCTGAAAAGGGAGCATACAAGATTTTATCCTTGAGAAAGAACTGCACTGTCTAGAAGGCAAATTAGTAGATAAAACCACAGACTATTCTAGTATGCTTAAAGAAGACTTTAGGCATTGAGTTGGCACAGTTTGTTGGAAAGAACTGTAGTATACCTTTTGAAAGACCCAACCCAGTCTTTGCTCTAACAGATACCAGCTGTGTGACCATTTAGCCATCTCTGTAACTTAGTTCTTCTTTTGTAGACTGAAAATAACTGTTTCTATCCTGCAATCATATGACATGACTTGTGAAAAAGAGCTCTGAAAAACTTTGAGATATATATATATATATATATATATATATACACACACACACGCACGCACATAAAATAATAGCAGTAAGATTGATTTTATGTCTCTGAGCACATTTTTACTTTGAGTACTTAAGGGGGAAATGCCACTTATAATTACTTTTTTGTGTGCAACTTAGTTCCATAATTCTTAAAAAAAAAAGCCTCCAATTAAGATGGATTTTAGTGTGAAGAGTAAGTTAACTCATACTGTTATTCTCACCTACAGTAGGAGTCCAGCCTACCGATTAGTAGCCTACCACCAGTTTTATATATATTGCTGTGCTCCTCCTTATCACTTTCATGAGGACAGCGTCTCTAAGTCACTGTCAACATTTATAGTTCCAGTGTGCAAAAAACCCTGGTGCAGAGCAGACTTTTGGTAAAAGTATGTTGAAATCAACATTGTCACCTGAAAGATATTTGAAGGGCTTGTCAGTAGATTAATCAATGGAGAAGACAAATGACCCGACAGACAAATGGTTCATGTTTTCAAATACAAATACTTTAAAAGACTGTCATAAGAAAAATCAAGTAGACTTTCCTTGAGTGATTTCAGAACTGGTACCTAGGTAGAAGTTACTAAATAATATATTTTCTTTCAATTTAATGAAGACATTTCTGAAAGAGTTATTCAAAGATGGAGTTTGCTGGCTTGTTGAGTTTGCTGGCAGGTTCAGGAAAAGGGCTCCAACCAGGGATGGACAGCTATGTGTTTGAGATGCGAAGGCCACTAGAGCTCTGAATGTCTAGGAGGGCTACTTTATTTATGTTTTCTTCCATACTTGACTGTCAATGAAAAACAGCAAAATATATGGTGTCTTTCATCAGAATTCATGCCATACCTCAGCTGTAGCCTCAAGATGTTTTCTTATGTGAGCAAAAATGCTGCTTGTCATTAAGGTGGTGAGTTTTTGATTAGGCAAGGCATCCTCTAAGAATTATTTCCTTTTCTTTCAACGTTGGCCCCAGGACCTGGGGGCAGTCTAATTGGCTCAGGATTGCCCTCATTGCTCACTTGTTCCTACTCAGCGGCTCATCTATTCACAGCTTTTGTAAACGACCCAGATCTCCATGGGGTGTCTCCACACTGTTAATGAATTAGCAGTATTTATTGCCTCTGGATGGCATAGTTCTTGAGGAGGTCCTAAAACCAGTTTAGGGTTGCTATTGAATAATTCAGTAATTAGAGCCTGACAGCTATGGGTTTGAGTCCCAGACTGGCCACTTATTAGCTATATGACAGTGGGCGTGCTATTTAACTTACAGGAGCCTCAACTCCATCATTTCCCAACTAGAGATAAGAGCAGATTGTCCTGCACAGAGCTACTATGCAGAGTAAAGGAGATCAGGCACGTGGACAGCTTGGCACAGTACTTGACACAAGCAAACACTCGATGATGTTAACTAGTGTTACGGTCAGTGATTATGACTTTCTAGTAATCATCTTGGCTAGAGTCTAAAGCTCCCTGCTTTCTCTGTTGCAGACATTGATGAATGTGCCTTAAGAACCCATACCTGTTGGAATGATTCTGCCTGCATCAACCTGGCAGGGGGCTTCGACTGCCTCTGTCCCTCCGGGCCCTCCTGCTCTGGTGACTGCCCCCATGAAGGAGGGCTGAAGCGCAACGGGCAGGTGTGGACTCTGAAAGAAGACAGGTGTTCCGTCTGTTCCTGCAAGGTGAGGCTGGTGTGGTGCGGTGGAAACTGTCACTGTTCTTTCTCTCCTTCCCCCTCTGCTCTCCCTCCCCATCTGTTTCCACCCGGTTGTTGATTCCTAGGTCTCCTGTGGTTCCTGAAAAGGATTCAGTTCTAATCTCCACTACAGCTAATGATGATGCTGGGTGGCAGGCAGACTTGCTGGGAATGAGGTGAGGTGTAGGGGTTGCAAAGAGACTGCTGAACGCAGGGGCAGCAGGGCAGAGAAGCCACTGAGTCCCCCTACTGAGAGCCGGCAGTGCCTTTAAGCTTGGTTGGGTGAGAGCTTTAACGAGCCCTCATCTCCTGCTTTTACAGTCTTGCTGATTAAAACTTCTCTTTCCCCGAAATGATCGCCTGCATGAACTTGCTCACTCTTGTGGTGACATCATTCAGAATAGCAAGGCTCAGAGGTTTGTAGTGGCCAGAGACAGGTGAACCTCTGACACGCTGTAAACACATGACAATGATGGTACGAGGCTGTCTGGTAAAGGATGTCTGTTTGTCGTGCTCAGTGCTGGCTAATTCCTTACATTAAGTTGTTTGGAAGTGAGTTTAATGCTTATGAAAATAAAATTCTGTCATCGACTAGTTTTGCTTTATGCTTTGCAAAATGGGCCTGTTAAAGTGTTTAATTTCCTTGTGCTTTATTTCTTTTTTTGTTGATCTTGCCTATTCAGTTTCCTTTGATATTACATTTTCTGTAGCTCTTACATTGTATTTTTATGTCTGTCTGGATGAGACTGTTTAATCTTTGGCTTTATGGGCGTGGGAACTGTGAGAAGTTACTTGCTTAGCAGCCTTGTAGAGAGTTGGTCTCCTGATAAACCCAGCATGCTCCCTGGAAACAGAGTAGAAATGAACCTTGAAAAGTCACCCAATTCACTCACCGGCCTTCAAGTCTGTCACACCTCCAGACCTGGGGGCACATATTTAGGAAAGCTGTTATTACTAAGTGTTTAGATCTCCATAATGGCATTCTTCCTTGTATATAAACAACTTTGTTGCTGTTGTTTAGTAGCTAGGTCATGTCCAACTCTATGAGAACCCAGGGACTCTAGCCCGCCAGCCTCCTCTGTCCATGGGATTTCCCAGGCAAGTATACTGGAGTGGGTTGTCATTTCCTTCTCCAGTGTATATAAACCTAGTTCCTCATACTTAGACTTAGGTTCATTGCTCCCAGTCGTTAAGTACCTCCCATATACCAAGCATCCTGAAATTTTTTATTGGTCATGTATTGTTCCATAGGTTACAAATACTTTGAGTGTGTTATATTTGTCTTTTCTCCTAGCAAATTATTATTGATTTTAATCAAAATCTGTAATCTTTTTTCAGCTTCTTATTTTATATTGGAGTATAGCTGATTAACAGTGTTGTGATAGTTTCAGATGCACAGTGAAACAACTCAGCCATACATGTATCCTTTCTCCCCTAAGCTCCTATCCTGTCCAGGCTTCCACATAGCATTGAGCAGGTTCCTTGTGCCATATAGTGCGTCATTATTGGTTATTGATTTTAAATATACCATTATGTACATATTGATCCTAAACTCCCTAATATCGCTTTCCCCGGCCCTTCCCTGCTGGTAACCATAAGTTCATTCTCTACGTCTGTGAGTCTGCTTCTGTTTTGTAAATAAGTTCATATGTATCATTTCTTTTTAGATTCCACATATAAGGGATAGCATATGATATTTCTCTTTGTCTGATTTACTTCACTTGGTATGATAATCTCTAGGTCCATTCATGCTGCTGCAAATAGCATTATTTCGTTCTTTTTAATGGCTGACTCATGCTCCATTGTATGTAAGTACCACACCTTTTTTATTCATTTCTCTGTCAATGGACATTTAGGTCCAAGCATCCTATAACTTACAAACAGCATCCCATTTAATATAGCATGACTCTGAAAGACAAAGAAACTGAGTTTCTAAGTTTTAGGGCAAGTAATGTACACTTAATATCACAAGATATAAATTTGTAAGCTGGGATTTGAAGTTTACTTCTTTGCTCCAAATCTTAGTTTTCTCATTTTGCCACATGTCCTGTAACTCTATATATGACATCTGTTGATATTTATAAAACCAATTAAGTAATCAGTCAACCCAACTGGATTGAGCTCAATGCTCAACTCACTACTATTGTAATGACTATGTAAGGACATTCCCTCAATCAGTCTTCAGGTTATTAAGTACAATATTTAAGCATGTGGCACTGACTCAGAGCAAAAATTTTTGAGAGATGGAAACGCTTGTTTTGGGTTAGAGTGGCTGAGAAAGGCTTATGGGAGAGGTTGGCAATTAGGTCTCTATTCAGCCAGCAAAATGAAGATGAATTCCTTTACTTATTCTATTTTAGAAAATATTGCTTTACCAAACCTTTATGGAGGCTCACAATCTGGCCCCATACTATTTTTAAGGCTTTCTATGTCCCCGATACCTATAACAGGCAAGGGATTTTAGTTGAGTCTTGACCAATATGAAACCAAAAGTTATTTTTCAGTTGTTGTTTTATTTAAGTCCATAATAAAGCAGGACATTTAGCAATCATTAAAATTTTTCCAAAACCTCATTAATTGGCTGTGCTAATAATCCAGCAGACAGTTGATTTATGCTGCTCTGACTCCTAAGGTATCTCTGATGACTTCTGGGAATTAGACTGATACTGCCACAGGAAAGGAACAAACCCTGTCATCTTATTCTTTTAATATAATGTACCTCCACTACCCCTCCTGTATGAATAAAGTACTGGGCAGAGCTTGTTACATAGTCTTTTAAAAAATAAAAATTACCCATGTATAGCACAGCTTGCAAGAGGTTGTAGAATGAAAGGAGAGCTGGTTTTAGGAGCTGAACCAAGAAGCCTGAGTCAAATTCCATAGATCGTCTTCAAAAAAATGAACTTATTTGTAATCCCCTTTGTTTTCACTATTTTCAGTTGTAAGTATTCTGATTTGATAAGAAATATTTCCAGTAGTTAAGCATGTAGTTGAAGTATTATTATGGCATCATCTTAGAAGCTAAGAAGTAAAATCAAGGTTAAGTTATGAAATGCTGGCTTTTTAATCATATTCTGGATGTTTCCAATTCAAATATAAACAAATCACACAAGCAGAATCACAAAAGCCAGCCACAGGTCAAGGCATACTGTTGAAAGAAGCAAGGTCAGAGTTCTTTCATCCTTGAGAATCAGTACATCAGGTTAGCTAATGTCTCATGTCAATTGAAAAAGAGGCCTTGAAACATATGCACAGCTGAATGGAGTTCAGTGATAAAGCTAGGCTAGCACAAATGGACATGGGTTCTATTTAGGTGAAATGTACCTCCTCGACAGTGACAATGCTTGTGTGCACCTTAAGACCACTAAACTGATCAGGCACAGAATAATTGCCTAATTTTGGGGATGCATGTTCCTCCAGATCAGAAACCCAGAGTGAAAAACGGTTGTCTCTTTAGGCTTCATCCCTAAATCTTAACTTATAGCCCAGTTTCTTTTCATAGATACCCACTTGTGGCTTTTCCTTTTATAAATTTGTCGTGGACCTAATGGAGATACCTTTTATTTTCTATCTGCACTACATGGAAAGATAGAGAGGTCTCAAGTTTATTAGTTTCCAGAAAATGTAGCATTTTAGTATGAATGGTTACATTTATATTGATGATCATGGAGATGAATGGGGAAATGGATACACAATTAACCACCTGTCATGTTATGGTAGAGTCATGAACAATTTATTTGTTGTGGGAACTTAGGAAAAAGAAGTATGCTTTATTCTGGGAGAATGAAGAAAGGAGTAGGGAATGACTTCACAGAGCAGGTGACCTTTGAATACATTCTTAAAGAATGAGAAATTTATCCAATTAGAGATGTGGGGAAAGTGAATTCCAAACAGAAGGAAAAGCAAGAACAAAGAAACAGAAGCATAACAATATATATTAAAGAAATATAAAGTGAATGATGAGATTAGACTATCAGGAGCAAGAAGAGTGTGAGAAGGTTATAAGAGGTGATGAGCCTGGAGATAAAGGATGGGGATAGAGTCAGGCTTTGGAATGTAGATTTTATCCTGTGAGCAGCTGAGGATCATGAGAGATTTTTTTCATTTAGGATTAATATGGCCTAATCATAGTCTGATTAATAGCATGATGGACATACTGGGGAGATCAAAACTAAATGCAGAGATACTACTTAGACTGAAGTAAAGATTCAGGAAACTAAAGGTGAGAACCTGGACGAGCAATAGAGAGGTAAGATCACAGGGTAAGTAACAGAGAAGTAAAATGATGCTCCTGACGAATTATGTCCCTCAGTTACTGTGGCAATGTGTGTCTGTATAATATAGGTGAAAAAGAAGCTTCAGAGTGGTGTGTTGTAAACTTAGCTGCAGATTTTCCTGGATAAAAAGAAATGAGGTGGCAGTGACAAGCAGAGACAGGATTTACAATTGCTCCCATACCTACACCCTTACCTACCACTGCTACACTCGTTAGTTCAGTTCAGTCGCTCAGTCGTGTCTGACTTTTTGCGAGCCCATGGACTGCAAAATGCCAGACCCCCCTGTCCATTACAAACTGCCTGAGTCTATCCAAACTCATGTCCATTGAGTCGGTGATGCCATCCAACCATCTCATCCTCTGTCGTCCCCTTCTCCTCCTCCTGCAACCTTTTCCAGCATCAGTGCCTTTGCCAATGAGTCAGTCCTTTGCATCAGGTGGCCAAAGTATTGAAGTTTCAGCTTCAACATCAGTCCTTCCAATGAATATTCAGCACTGACTTCCTTTAGCATGGACTGCTTGGATCTACTTGCAGTCCAAGAGACACTCAGAGTCTCTCCAACACCACAGTTCAAAGGGATCAATTTTTCAGCACTCAGCTTTGTTTATAGTCCAACTCTCACATCCATACATAACTCCTGGAAAAACCATAGCTTTGACTAGATGGATCTTTGTCGGCAAAGTAATGTCTCTGCTTTTTAATATACTGT